CCTTATAATAGTGGAGAAAACCTTTTCTGATTCATTTTTATACCTACACTTAAAAGTTAAATATCTCCCTCTAGGCAAGCCATTAGCAGCTAATCTTTTAACCTTGTTAATTTGCCGTTGAGAGCTTTCATTTGACCCGAACATGTGCCACTTTTTCGACTGACAATACAAACCCCTCCATTGTAAGTAAATAAGATGATTAATTGGAATTTACATTTCTACTTATTTAACCTAATTACTTCAATTAGTTATAATTAAAAAAAGCTGTTCGCACAATCTTTCCGGGATTTAAATGTAAAACATGATGTAACTGCTATTCTGATAATCATAGGGATATTGTTTTATCCTAACCGAGTTCAGACTTTTTGGACTTGGATCAGGTTAACAGAAAAATTTCAGACCTATACTCGATGAGCTCTAGTTGCTATGATGCTTTTTACCGTCTTTGATGAACCATTTCTCACAGATCTATCGATACTGTCTGTAGAAAGCTACGAATTCCTATCATGTATGTTTGAAAATTTCTGTTAGATCACATTGTACAAAACTGACGGATTACAGCAACGTTAATAAACTAACCTCAATAACATCTGAAAGAAGTTCAATAACTTTTGGATGATCATTGTTTTTATACAAATCTTCTGCTTGTTGAACTTTTTCATTCATTTGTGCAGTTAAATCAAGTTGATTACGTGCTTCAATATTCGACGAATCAAATTTTAGCTAAATAAAAATAAAAATTCATAGAACAAAAATAAAAATAATTCATTAAAATTTACATACCACATTTTGAAAATCTAGTATTGCTTCATCAAAATCACCTTGCTTTAATAGAACATTTCCTCGTTGCATACGAGCCTAGAAAAACTTGAGAAAATAGAATAAATCTGTGATAGTTGAAAAAAAAAACACTTACTGGAATAATATCTGGTTTAAGTGCAATAACTTTACTCAAATCTGGTAATGCCGACTTTGATTTTCCCATAGCTAAATATACTGTTGCTCGACGAAAATAAGCAAGATAATTTTGTGGATCCACATCTTATTAAAAAAGAACTTCTATTAAATATAATTTCAAATTAAATCTTACCAATAGCTGAATGAAAATGTGATAAAGCATCTGATAATTGTCCAGTAGCTAATAATTTTTTTCCTTTCTCTAAATGATCATTAACAACATCACTTATTTTCATACCATTTTCATTTCCTTTAACACCTATTAGAAATAAAAGAAAATACACATTTTCATATAGAAATACTTATTTAAATTTCTTACCGAGTATTAAAAAATTTAATAGAATACTAAATATGGATAAATATAATAGAAAATTTCTACATCGAAACGTGAAGTACCCACGGAAGAAGGTGAATTTATAAAATAGCATTCTGTCTATTATCGATTACGTGAAGTAAAGCTAATAATTCACACCATAATATTTATCACGGGAAAAAAAAATAGATCATCATCTAGAGCGCCGACAAACGTTGTAGAAGATGAATGGTTCATATTAACCAATGATTGATAGACTAGCGAAACCTATCAAGATTATGAAAAGAATTTTTCAATATTTGAATATTTTGAAGTGTAATTATTTTGTTCTTTTTTCGTATATTGTCAAAGAAACCTTTACATAGAATAATGAAAATAGAATTGTGACCTCTATCGAAAAAGAGCGATGACGATAGATAGATATTAAATCGTCTTCATTGTTTAAGTTGATTTAGTTTGTTTATTATATTCAGACATTCGGTATGATGAAAATCAATAATCAATGGTGAATAAGTAAAATGCACCAATATTTATATATAGTCTTCAAAGTTCTCTGACCGAATGAAAAACATAAATAAAACAAAAACGAAATTTTTAATTACTTTATTCGCTTTATATTAACGATTGTTTTTTGTCTATTGATTTAAGCCTTTATTTTCTTTCTTTCTTTGTACCTTTTTTTTTTTGGCTTTTACCAATGACATCAATAACGACGTTTTGTTGTGAAGAACAGTATAGTAAAACTGATTATATTGATGACAACTATTCCGATGATAGTCTCTTATTAATGACTGACGGTGGCGAAGAAAAGTCGCCCTTATTGGGCATGTCTAATAATGGCTTTGTAAGTGGTGAACAAATTTTATCTAATGATATACCACTTCAAACACGGCCATTAAGTTCACATTGTCATGTACCGGATGATAAATTTGATCATGCTGCACGAAATCGTCTTATCATTGTCTTTATTCTTTGTTTTATTTTTATGATTATTGAGCTTGTTGGTATGTTTGTTTATATTGAATTTAAATAGAAAAATAAAAAGAATAAGTTATTTATATTATATATTTACTTAGGTGGTATTATTTCGAATTCAACAGCTGTAGCAACTGATGCAGCGCACATGTGTATTGATTCAGCTAGTTTTCTTATATCATTAGCAGCACTATATTTGGGTGCAAAACGACCAACAGAAAAACTTTCATATGGTTATATTCGAGCAGGTTTAATAAATATTTTGATTTTTAATAGTTACAGATGTTGAACCTTTTTTTTGTTTCTTCATCAGAGGTTCTTGGAGCACTTTTGAGTGTATTGACTATATGGTTAGCTACTGGTATTCTTGTTTATGTCGCAATTGAACGTTGTATTAATCAAAGTTTTGAAGTAAAACCAATAGAAATGATTATCGTTGCTTCATGTGGTGTTTTTTTCAACATAGTGTAAATACGAGAAATATATTCTTGCCATTTAAGACTTCAAAATATGTGGCTTTTTTTTTGTGTTTCGTTTAGAATGTTTTTTGTATTACATGCTGATACATGTGCTCATGCAATTCCTCATCACGGACATACTCATAATCATAATCACAGTCATTCACATGAAAATCAATCATTAGCAATTAATATTGAATCTGAACATCATCATGATGAAATTTTTAAACAAATAAAATCATCGAAAAATATTAATATTCGAGCAGCTATTATTCATGTTATTGGTGATTTTGTTCAAAGTATGGGTGTTCTAGTTGCTGCTATACTTATCAAAATAAAAGTATATATAAACAATTGAAGAATATTGGTTTTTTTTTTGAGTTGAATTATTTTAGCCTGAATATAAATTAGCTGATCCAATATGTACATTTGTTTTCTCAGTATTAGTTCTTATTACAACATTTACTATAATGCGTGATATTGTTCTTGTTCTTATGGAAGGTTTGTAGTTTGATTGATAATTCATTCGTTCGATTTCTTATTTTATATGATTTTAGCTGTTCCATCAAATATTAATTATACACAAATTATTGATGATCTTCTTCGATTGCCAGGTGTTCGTAATACACATAGTTTACATATTTGGTCATTGTCAATGCAAAGAACAGCATTATCTGTTCATTTAGCAATAGGTTTGATACGCTGTTTCATTAATATTGATATATTTAATTATAATAAGTGTTTTTATAGATAGTGATCATGATTATTTAACAGTTATGAATGACGCTCAAGAAATGCTTCGTCATAAATATTCGATAAAAAGAGTAACAATTCAAGTTGAACCATATGATGAAAATGTAATGAATTCATGTGAAAATTGTCGTCGATCAGACAAATAATAAAACAAAAATCTAAATTATCGAAATGGCTATATTGCGCTATTTATATATATATATATATATGTTCTTTGAATATTGGTTTTCGTTTATATTTTTTTAGTAGTATATTCTTCCAGCTAATATAAATCTTATTATATACATATTAAAATTGATGGATTGATGCATTATATAATGATTATATGTAAATGAATAGATAAAAATATATACGGATAATTTCAGTCAACAAGTGTAAGAAGTTCTATCTATCTAATGAGTATATTTTGGGACCTAAAAATTATCTCTAAACATTAAAAAATTCGGGAAACGATCAAATTGGTGACAACAGTACATTGTCTTATGTTTTTCTTAAACTAACTTTTTCATTAAGAAAAAGTGTAGAGACATCCTCATTTCTCTGACTTAGTACGCTCGATCGAGTTGTCGCTTTTTTCACACATACTTTACACTGTTTGGGATGGGGACCTTTTTTTATTGTTGTTTATTTTTGGTAACTTATAAAAAATGCACGAATCNATTATATGTAAATGAATAGATAAAAATATATACGGATAATTTCAGTCAACAAGTATAAGAAGTTCTATCTATCTAATGAGTATATTTTGGGACCTAAAAATGATCTCTAAACATTAAAAAATTCGGGAAACGATCAAATTGGTGACAACAGTACATTGTTTTATGTTTTTCTCAAACCAACTTTTTCATTAAGAAAAAAGTGTAGAAACATCCTCATTTCTCTGACTTAGTACGCTCGATCGAGTTGTCGCTTTTTTCACACATACTTTACACTGTTTGGGATGGGGACCTTTTTTTATTGTTGTTTATTTTTGGTAACTTACAAAAAATGCATGAATCAAAGGACAAAAAAATAAAAACGTATCTGAATTTGTAAAAAAAAAATTTTGAACTCGATTGGAGAAATCGACGTCATTGCGATCATGATATCTTATGGAAGACAGTATTCGGGATGATAAATTTTGCTCAGCTCATCAAGATCTAGTGGCTCTGAAAATTTGAAATTTTTTCTGATGAGCCATTCTCCAGAAATTTCCAAAGAAGCGAGAGAGAAATCAATAAGATAAAATTACTTGAGAGAGAAAAACAATGATTTAAAAGAGAGTATTAGATGAAATGGCTTAGACGGACTTGTGATAATTACAAAAAATAGACTTATATTTCTACTTGATGAAAAGTATATGAAGTACTAGTGAAACTGTGTTGCAGCTGAAGATTTTTATAGATCAAATAAAAACAACGAAATTAAACCTATTACGAAACAAATTATTATCATTGAATTGACACGAATTATTTGTTCTTGTGTCATAATAAAAAAATTTCGAAATACAAAACATATAGAATAAGAAAATCAGATGAAAATTTGTACATAAAATTATGAACAGAAGAAATATACAATCAGGAACCGATACATTGAAAATATTGAATTATATTGAAATCATGCATAGGTCATATGAAATATTATTCAATCGGTATGTAAGAATATTTGTACGAAATAAAATAACTTTGAACTGTTATTGAAATAATCTATGTGATAACCTTGAATAAAATTCGAATATAAGTAATAGAGAAAAAAATCTAAAAATTTATTGTTTTGATATGTGACTAATCGAATAGTTGGATTATCAAGTAATGAATAATTATGCTTGATAAATGATTCCATTATCGATATTGTCATATATTATCGTTTCGCTAGTCTTTCTTTCTATTTAGCTATTCATTATAGAGATACCTTTGATTTTCTTTTACTCCTTGTCATTTAATTTCGGATGACAAAAAAAGAACACAAACGAGTTAAAGTAACGCTGTATAAACGAAAATCTACGTCAATACTAAATTGCCTTATTTATATTTCATTCGTGAATTTATACAAGACGAAAATAAAATTTTTATGTTAGTAGAGAGGAATTATCCTAGATGTTCAATATTAGATTCAAAGTTTTTCTGTTAAAAGTGTTCCATGCAAATGAATGGTTATATTTATTATTATTATTATTATTATGAAATTTCTATGCTGATTTTGTTGTTTTACAAGGATAAATTTTAAAGATGAATTTTAAAAGTCAATTAAAGTAAGAAAATTTAACTTTTCAAACGATAACGATGTGAATCTTTCAAAGTTGATTGACATTCATAGTTCACTTATTCGCATGCATTTGTCAATACAAATCTTATTTGTTACTGATTGATCTGTACATGTATGCTAACTATCCATCATATAAAATAAATATTATTGAAATGATCGCTAAGAAAGGTAATATAATCGATCATTGAATATAACCCATTACTCAGAACGTTGGAGAAAAAAATCTACCTGGTAAATACTACTGATGATTATTTAGTAAAAACACACTTTTTTTATTGAATGAAAAAATCCTTCTTACATCATCGTCATCCCCTCTCATTGTCATGTGCTTAATGATACATTTGGTCATGCTGAATGAAATTGTTTTATTATTATCCTTATTGTTTGTATGATCATTGAGATTGTTGATATGTTCGTTTATATTATGTGCAATCAAAAGAAAAATAAACCAAGCCGTTATATCTTTTTTACTTAGATGGTATTTTTTGTCGAAATCAATAGCTGAAGTAACTGATGTACTGCATGTGTTCATTGATTAGAATTATGGAAGATGAGGTCTTTGTTCAGCTCGGTCCTAATTGAAAGAAAATTATTTGAGAATCTATTCGCATTAGATCTAAACAATAGTCTTAAAATACTCCTGTTTTGATTAATACAGTCGACAAATACTACTTGTTTTGGTCATCTCCTCAGATTTTGTTTTGATTTTTGAAATTTACAACATAATTCACTAAAAATTATAGAGAGTGCAACTACAGCTTTTAGTTCCGAATTCCGTAGATTTTAACTTTTTGGTTTTGACCGCTAAGACCGGAGCTAAAACTCGTGCCGTACATATCCAGTACTTATGTGACTAGTTTGATTAAAAAAGAAAACACATCAAAACATGTAACACGAAAAGTTCTACCATATACAATATAAAGCCTATTTTATATATATGCCTTTTTAGTTTTTAAAATAGAAAAAAATCCTATGAGACTAATTTTTGCCACTGCGAACAAGATCATTTTTTTGGTACACGACAAATTCTTTTTCTTCTTTGATTAATTAATGAATCGGAGTGCTTAACGTTAGTCTATTGCATTTTGTTAGCGATAGCTGTTCATACTTAATAATCTCAAACATTAAGATCGAGATTGTTTGATGTCCATCTGTAATTACTTATGAAACGCTTGAAATTCTTTTCACACCATGCCAATTATTTCTGATGTGTAGGTGATATGCTATTGTCTTGTTGATAGATGAAATCATCAACTAGTAGGCATTGACATTTCGTGCATATGAAAGAACAACATCAAGATAATCTTCAACTAGCCGGGATGCCACTGGAAAATACGAGAGATAACGGGAAACGTAACGGAACAACACAAAGATCCGGTCAAAAAACATTTCGAAACTCATCCTATCTGACTGAAATTCATTGAATCCTACATTTGATTCTGGTAGGAATCGGCTGTAAACAAAGACTTTCCGACGCATTTTCTGCACGATCTCCTCCATTCCTCATAGTATCCGCTCAATTTCCCATAGAAACTCGACAGAGAAAAATATCAAATTCAAAGAAGTATCGTGGATAACAGAGTTAACAAAACAAAAACAATGATTTCATCACAATACACCGACACCATATATATCGAGAACTTGACCAAGATTCTGCAAGAAAAATCCCAAACAATGCAGAAAACTCAGTCGAACGATAGAAAGATCTGCTCAGAAACAATTTGGAAACATACTCATGTAGCCGAATGGCACAGTAAAGAACCTATCGAAGCAAATATCAAATTCTGCCACAGCGGCAGTCACCTAAGAATTAATATTTACTCTATACAAAACGCTGGGTACAAATCAGTTTGTGATTGTCATTGAAGCACTAGAAAAACAGAGCAAACTTTACGATTCATTATAAACCTTCCGAATCTGTCGATACTCTGACCTCGAGTTCCTAACTAGGCAAAAACAATTTATCAAGTTTCTTGTGAATTCCACGACATACCGACAAATCACAAAAGTGTTTGCAAGCTATGATTTGCGAAAAAATATATGCTCTCATTATGATCTAATATTTCATGAGGAAATCTTTACTGGCTTCTAGAACTGATCATCTTTCCATCAACATATGTAGAAAGAAAATTTGCAACCCTGGAAAAGTGAGGAGCCTCCTGGCAAGTACAGACCTTTTTATACTACAGAAGCAAGCATAGAAAACATAAAAGTAATCAGTCTTCGTTCGTCCTATTTTGATAGATGCTCCAAATTCATGAAGTTCCGATATTTCAAGCGTCAATAAAATCATTAACTAACGACCTCTATGCAGTAGAAATTCTTTCATTTATGCCAATATGTTGATAGTGCACAAATGCAGCGTCATTCTTTGCTGCCGCGATAGAAGGAGAATAGTTGTAATGGCTTGACTGATATTTTTTCGTCTATTTTTTTCGTTCGAGATATCGAAGAAAGGTGTACATAGAAAGATTTCGCTGCTTGTAAGAGAGAAAAAATCTATTCAACCACCTCATCTATAAAAGCATGTGCGCAGGTAGGCGATACACAACTTTCACAGTTAGACAAAGTCGGTAAAAACACGCATTTTTACGCTTTGAAATGTGCACTTTTTACGTTTTCAAAATATTCTTTTTGAAAAACAAAGCAAGTCTGATGATGATGATGTCCACAAACATGCTTTTCAAAAAATAATAAAAATAATTTTTCCATTTTGTTGTCCATGTAAAAAGCATACATTTTAACGTGTTAAAATGAGCTGTGTCGGACTGAGTTTTGTGTATGTTGTGTGATTTTTGCCGGTAAAGAAGAATTACATAGTTAAGCAAAGGGGATCATATAAATTCTACTCGAGCTAAATCAAAGCGGAGTAACCTGACTTTACATTGTAAGCGCAGGTGTCGACGTAGGTGTGACTGAAGACAAAGCCGACACCCATACCGTGAGTCGATCTATAGTCCGATAGCACAAAGGAAATCGTTTTTCGGCACTGTTTCAGCGATGAAAGCTATTTTGTGTTGATGATAGCCCCACCATCAAAGTGATATGATCAACGTGTCTTCTACATATTTCACTTTGTGTGCGACTTATAAATCTATCTGAAAGTTGTGCACTATACAAATCATATAAAAACAAAAGAAAAGTTGCTACCATCAGTTTGATGAATGCATCACAATTAATGCAAAATAGTTTTCATTGTTGAAACAGTGTTGGTAAAATTTTTTCATTTGTACTGTCGGATTAAAAATTGACTTGGCAGACTACTCTGAGAATATTAGCTCAAGCAGCGACTCGAGAAGAAAGTTTGAAACTTTGAAGTATAGTATTACATAATGTTGATTAAATGCTAATAGGTTAGTATTAACGGAATCATCTCAGAACGGCATTTGCACATTTTATATCTGATTGTGCTGAAAATTCGATCTTTGAAAGTCTTTCAGTTGAAGCTTTTGTAGTTAAATTTCAACCCAAAATACTGAGCTTTTCTGAAGCTGTGGCATTACTCATGACTCAATGCGAGATATAGAAAGCGCGCTGATTTTTAATTGAAGCCAATCAACGTGCCTGTATTTTGAATGAAGAGCATTTCGAAATCGTATTTCGGTTCGATTTTAGACGAAAATCAAGTTACAGTCGCCAAATATTCTTCAATCGGTAATACTACCTGAGCCGTCATTACTAGCCGATGTGTTTAAGAGGAAAAAGTGGTCGATTTTGTTCACTACCGCTACTTCCATTTATGGGTGAAAACGACTACTTTTCTTTATATGATTCAATTTTCCTCCAGAGAAAGTAGTTTCTTGGAACACGCGATAGTCAAAAAATTCGGATTGTTTTTCAAATTTGTGCTATACATTTTGGAAAAGTTTTGAAAAGTCACGTCCCGATCGGATCCACAATTTTCATGAACGAAATACTCTGGGTCTGTAGAGAAGTAAGAGACGAAAACCAACAGAAAACTGGCAGAAATCTTTGAAAAAATACAAAGGTGAAATAGACATCTTCTAGAAGGCTCTGCCAAAATCTGTATATTTCATGTCTAGTTATAATAATTTCGAAAGAGGAGATCGTAGCGTATTTTTCTAAGGATGAAACTTCAATTTCAGTGTTGTGGTTATGAAAAAAAAACAATTTTCTCAGGGCGGTGTGGCACTATTTTATTGTTTTGGACTAATACATCCATATGTATTAACCTCAGCTGTAGTCCTTGATGCATAAGAACTAGCATTTCCTCACTCCTAATGCAAACACACCAGCACTAACCATCCGCTCACTAACACCGAAATTCACCCAAGCCCTTCCACCCCTCCCCTTTACCATCTATCCGCTATCACCTACAGTGGTTGCCGTAATTATTCAACCGAGTACAATTTTCAGTTTCCTCGATAGCTGTAAGTAGCAAAAAGGATCTAAGCAGCTATTTCAGTACAGGCAGTCACTTTCTACAAGTATTTGAGGGAATTAAACAAGTTACTTAAGTCCTATGGAAAGGATCTCTAGAGCCGACAAATGGAAGTTTACTTTTACTATCTAGAATGATGCAACAAACAGCTCTTTACAAGATGAAACGCCTCTGAGCTTTTTACGATATTTTTTGACCGATGCACATCAATTTTATCGGAGACTTCAAAATCACTTTCTCATAGAAAACGACATAAAAAATGACTTTGTAGTCTTTGATAGAATTGATGTATCTCAAACAAGAGACATCGTAGAGAAGGCAACGGCATATTGTTTCGTAGAGCACTCTTTGCTTTATCAGTCTATGCCGTCAAAACAAACTATCGCTGTCGGAATCTAGATGGTGAAAACCTAGGGTTTTGGTTTTCTAGAAATTCTTTCGCTGGAACTAGCATAATTTTCATCTGTTCTCTTAAATTTTTGTAGGAAGCACTTGTTCAATTACAAGTACACCTACCAAATGGATTATTTTAAGTGAAAAGTATCGATGGAATTAATCATTTAGCTGGAACAAATCGACTACTGAGGGAAACTCTTGAAATAAGTTCTCTAGACTATTGTGTTTTATTTCCTTGAAAGTGGATATCGTACATGCCAGATATTTGAGTATTCTTGAAGCAAAAATCTATTGATATGCCAGTTTCAACGATATTTTACCTTCGATTTCTCTTCTTTTATGATTCCATTGTCTCGTAACAAGCTTGCAGTTATCATGACGACATAGTTGATCATGATTGTCTCTTAGAATTATTGGTTTGTAGGTCAAAGATTTTGGAAAGTGAATCGTTCTCGTCACGAGGCTGGGCATCTATCCAAGAACGCTCCACTATTGTCAGATATTTCAAAGCAGAGTATATAACTGTATCGAATTTAAAAATGCTGTTAAACTTCAGTGTTACAGCAGCATGAACTTAAAATACTCAATAGCAATACAGATACGACCGCTGTTGTGCCAAGAGCAAAAATTCTGAGCCTTTCCGTTTAAAACTCATACTGCAGGTGAACTGAATGCTACCATCATCATGAAATTCAACACAATCAGATGCCCTACTTGGAAATATCTGACAAGAGTGGCAGATTGTTGAATCGATGTAGAGTCTCTCGACAAGAATGATACACTTTCTGAAGATCATGTGAAGCAAGCTAACAATTTTATTACATGATAATCGTCAATTTTGTCGTCATCATAACTGTAGACCTATTACAAGACAGTGAATGTTATGTCAGTAGAGACATCTCCTGACATAAGACGGCCATCTTTATCCCTCTATCATAGTTAGGAGATGGAACCAACCGGTGGAAGAGGAGAGAAAGAGAGAAAGAACATTCTTTGCTGCTTTTTGTTTTTGATTGAGTCAGTTGTTTGTTTTGGTGAAAAAAGAAGGAATAAAGAAAACGGGTAAAGGACCTAACAGTGAATCACCAAGAAACAGTAGTCAAATATAAAAAATCATTGAAATAGCCAAGTTAACTAATTTTTGCTTTAAGATTACTAACTCACTTGATATATAATACCAACTTTCTAATATATTTCTTGCCATTTACAGCTGAACCTTGAAGACAGATAAAGTTACTATCAATGTATCTATGATATGCGACTATGAGATAAAGCAATAATAGTGTAGAGAACTTATTGAAAGAAGCAGGTGATGTTCGGTTGATTTTGACCAAATGAAATATATTTCGAACGAAAGAATAGAACAAGCGGCGAAAATAAAGCTGTAAATATTGTAAAAAAGAAAAATTATGTTTTACTGATCATCGATACTGTGGAGTTCTATGTTGAAAGTGCAATTTTACTATTCGATCAGTGCATAGAAATAAAAATGCAAGATCGAAAAACACGAAATCCTGCTTTTCATTTTATTTTTCTAGAAAATCAAGTGAGCTGCTTGGCAATAAAGGACACAAATTATCAGTTCACCACAATGAGTAGCTCAGGTGAACGTTTCACAGATGTTGAGCTGACAAATAAACGTCTGCCAGCATGTTATGGCTATATTGCATGGAAATTAGTGTCTCTTGAAGAAGCTATGGAAGCCCTACATTATCTTCTACCGGAAATCAATCGATTTGTTAAACTGGCCCAAAGACATTGTGTGTTTCCGAATGAACACAATTTAAGCAAAGATGAGGCTGCCACAGTCTATCTGTACACCATGGAAATGTTGGAAGAGGCAAGTGTTCACCATATTTTAAACCAAGCACTTCGTGCCGATGATAGATCCAAAGTTCGCCTATGGTTTGCATATCTAAAGCTTTTGGATTCTGCGATATCCAAATTACCAAAATTTAAAGGTATTCTCTGGCGCGGAATCAATAAAGATGTTAGTCAGACATTCAAAAAGGGTCAAGTTATAACTTGGTGGAGTGTTAGCTCGTGCTCAACATCCGTTGATGTCATTTCATCATTTCTTGGCAACGCTCCTCAAAGCACATTATTTAGTATTGAGTGTTCGAATGGAAAATCCATTGCAGCATACACATGTTACCCGAATGAAAATGAAGTTATTCTAATGCCGGGTACAACGTTTGAGGTTGTATCAGATCCGTTACATCATCATGGCGGATTACATTTTATACATTTAAAAGAAATTATTGATGATGATGACGAACAACAAGGAGTAGTTGGATCAACAACTGCAAGTACTTCGGCTACTATATCCATAGCGAAGCAATTCAGCAATATGAATTTAGGCAAGAAAAAAAAATTCAAGATAACTGCCTCAAACATGAGTAAAGTCATTGGCAACACTTTTTTGAGCATCTTGTCCTCTTTCTGAGACTTGCCAAAAGCGACCAAATAACAAAATTTAAAACTTTTAGGAGTAAGTTAATTTCAGGTAGTGAAGTAATAGAGTCTACTGTTTACTCCGATTTTCCAGTCCTCTAAGATCGGGAGAACCCACATTCAATTCGCAAATAATGTAAGTTCTTTTGAGTGAGGTTTGTTCACGTCAACTGAGATTTAATCAGAACTGAATTATTCCTGATTGATAACACTCCAATAATTCTTTTGATTTTTGGTTACATATCATAGCACTTTATTTTCTTTCTTTCGATGAGAATAAAGGAAAATCCGGCAAATAAAAGAAAAGAAATAATGTATCGAAAAATTCCTGACAACTTCCGAACAACTTTCAGCGAACAACTAACAATACCCGATAAATCAGGAGGAGTCACAACGAATTCACACGATTACTAGAAACCTCTGTAATTCGATGAAAAGTCAGGCAATCACAGGTGATTGGATGTTTTGAAGTGAAAGAAAACTATTTCTGTTGAATTCCTGAAAATTCGAGGAAAATTTGGGCAAAATCTGTAAATTAAAAATATAAACTTGCGTACATGTTGCAAAATTGCCATAAAAATGCATGAGCAATCACAAAATTTCGCAAGATCGACACAGAACTCTCAAGATTAGAAACAATTTTGAGGATCTTTTCGAAATCTCCAAGAAATTCACGAAATGCCACGGGAAATCGCCGGTTAATTCAGATAAAATAGAGACAATGGCAGCAGGGTTGATGAAAAAACAGAAAGGCTAACCAGGATTCGATAAAATTATATGCAGTTCCAAGGAGCCCTGCCGAAATGTTGAAACCTTTCGGATATCAAAGTCAATTTCGAGTATTGCGAAGAATCCTCGAAAAATTTTCGAAAAATTCAATAAAAATCAGGGAGATTCCAAGCATTAGGCAGAAAAGTGCATTAAAATGCAGGAAAGTCGTACCTGAAAAATTTCAGATGATTCGCAAAAATGATAGAAGGTTCTAGGACATTTTGGAAAATCTCAACCGAGTTCCATGACAATTCCACTAGGATAAGCTAGTGAACTTCATAAATAACTTACTTTTTTCTTTCTCTGTGGCAGATGTCATTCCGAACATTCCTGCAAATGCCAGATGGGCACAAAATGGAATGACCATCGCTGGAGGCAACGGAAATGGCAGTGGATCCCACCAACTTAACAACCCGTGGGGTCTCTATACAGATGAAGATCAAACTGTTTACATCGCTGACTTAATGAATGACCGTATTATGCAATGGAAGTCTGGTGGAATGATCAATAAAGTAGCAGCTGGTGGCAACGGAGAAGGAAATCGAACTGATCAATTGAATGGACCAATAGATGTGATTGCCGAGAAAGAGACAGACAGTTTCATCATCAGCGATCGAAAGAATCGACGAATAATGCGATGGTCCCGTCGAAATAGAAAAAATGAAGAGACTATCATTGAGAATGTCGATTGTTTCGGATTGGCGATGGACGATCAGAAGTTTCTATACATTTCTGATTACAAGAAGCATGAAGTAAGACGATATCGAATGGGAGAGAAGGATGGAATAGTCGTAGCGGGAGGCAATAGCCAAGGTGACCGTCTAGATCAACTCAACTATCCTACCTTCATCTTTGTCGATAGAGATTATTCTGTATACGTCTCGGAGTGGAACAATGATCGTGTGACCAAGTGGATGAAGGGTGCAACAGAAGGAATTGTCGTGGCTGGTGGTCACGGTCGAGGAAATACTCTGAATCAATTGGCGGAGCCCAAAGGAGTGTTCATCGATGCGTCGGGCACAGTCTATGTGGCAGATGATGCGAATGATCGAGTGATGCGTTGGTCCAAGAGTGCGACAAAGGGAAATGTGATTGCTGGTGGAAACGGTAAGGGATCAGAAGCAAACCAGTTCAATGGACTCACAGGCTTGTCATTTGATCGAAATGGCAATCTGTATGTCGCCGACTGGGGGAATCATCGAGTTCAACGATTCTCCATTGAACAATAACTTTGTTTGTTTGTTTTTATGCTCAACAAACGAGTGAATGTTATTTTCGATTTCCTTCTTGTACTTTAAAAAAATAAATCTCTTTTTTTTCGAAAAATATTTTCCTTCAAGCTACAGCTTCTCTTCCTCCATCCATCTTTGCTTCTTAACTGGTAGACTCCTATGACGAACCTACACGATGTGACAAACGTGTGGATTCATAAGTCTATCATATTACTTCCGTCATCAGTTAGATACACTGGGATGCAGTCGAAGACAACGCGAACCCTCATCCGCCAAGAAGAAAACGAATGTTTTTTTCTATTAAGCCATATATACAGCAGAAATTCAGTAATATCTATAGATATCTAACCAATCATATATATTTTGAATATCACTTGCGAGCGATACGAAAGACTCAAGTTTAAAGCAAACCATAGATATTACTTACAAGTGAGTACGCTCACAAATAATGAATTAATCAAAATTTTAGTATATTTAGAGATTACTATTGAATGACTGGAGAAAATGACAAACAGACAAAAGAGAGAATGAGTTGTACAAAAGAAAACAAAATATCTCTTCAGATATGATTAAAAGTATCATTAGATGATTAACAGTGTAACTGTTAGAATTTGTTTGCCCAAGTCAATTATCAAACGATACAATCAATCCAACTGAATATATTGCTAATTTGTGATAGAAGATACTATACTTCAAGCACATAATCGATTTCTTTTATTATAAATATTTAATCCGGAATATGTTAGATGCATCATTAATAACTTGTGTTTTTTAATATTTGCATAATTGACCTAACTTTTTTTATTTTAACAAATAGAAAAAAATTCAAAATTATCTTTGATTTAATCTTAGATGTTTAAAAATATTTTCTTAATTTGATTCGATTGCTTTTTATTAGATGACCGATCAATGAATCAATCGATTTTTGTAATTAATTTCATCAAGTAATAATGATAATTGTTTTTTTTTTCAAATTTATTTTCTATTGGCACCAAAATTGAAATAAATTTAATGATTTTCTTTTCATACAAAATTAATCGAAATTTTTATGTAATGAATTTTTAAAAGTTTTATACCATAATAAATAAAATCGGTTTAATTTCATTTGTTTTCTTGATTATGTATGTGTGGTAGAGTTAAATATTTATTCCGAAAACAAAAGTAAACTTTAATATAATTATACTATATATGGGTGAATCGTATTTCATTTGTACCATTAGAATGAAAACCATGGCAAAAAAGAAAGTGTTCATATTAATAAAAACCTAACTGAATACTTTCAGAGAGCATCCTTGAAAACCTAGAAAAAACTTGCTGTTCCTATACTTTGCTCAGAAATAAAATCGCTATTACAATATCAAAAATCAATATATGCATTATCACGATGTTCAGGCAAATTTTGATATAATTTATAATTTGATGAAATAAATCATGCATGCATCAGTCCATGAAGTTCGATTGGATCTATCGAATGATTTCTGTTTGAATGTCGAAATAAATATAATCAGTGAAAAATTGATTATTTTGAAAGCAGAGCATGTCTTCAGTATTTTTTTTCCTATTTAACAATATTTTTTTTCTGAAAAGTATACCATTAGATGTACCTACCAATGACGGATTGAATAGTGTACAATTAGTTCATAATTAACTTTCATTTCATTGAGATATTCAACTTTTCACTTGACAGTACATCTCATATAAATGTTGCCATTAACTTAGCTCTTACACGTATAAATTTCACACAAAACAATCAATCCGATTAAGAGATATTTAAGTTTCGAAATTCAAAATATGGCAAGACAATGCTTGTTCGCTCACATGTATTGCAGATCTTGATACAGTCTGAAATTTATTTTCAGAAAAGGTATTCCTATCAGTTAACTTCATTTGAAAACTGTTTCAAGTTAGTCAACATATTTTTGTCAAGGGAAAATAATTTTTTGAAACAACGGGACAAACAAAACGACAATATGTCTGTCGAGTCGAAACTATACGCTTATTTACTAAACAGTTTTTCTCTAAAGAAAATAAAAGTCAGATTCTCATTTCCAGCAATTTTTTCTATCGAACTGCAATTAAACAAATGCGAACACAAGTATTATTTTATTTAAAGTATTTTTTTCTTCATCAAGAAATACTGACAATTTTTCTTTTCATTTCCAACAAGAATATTTCGAGATGGGAGTAGTAGTGTATCCATCACAATGGATGTAAATCCTCAACAAGTATAATAACAAATAGTTTGGATTACAATCATGTTCTTTGAAATATGATTGACGATTTTGAACAAATTTCTATATATCAGAGTCATAAACAGCGTATTAATTTAAAATACTCAACATAACTTTCCATGACATTTAGAGTTTTATATTGGATAGTTTACTAGTTAATCCATAATCATTAAGAAAAATTCTTTGTATTACATATAAATTCATATAGTTGTAAAATTGTTTTTATGTTTTGAGATTTTAACATTTATTTCAATAATCACGTCGTAGGCATCGAAAGTTGTCATTTTGTATCGTGATGATTTCAAGAAAAGGTAACTGAGAAAATGCTTGTTTAAACACTAGGTGAAAGTATCGAAACTGAACTCGTTCCATGTTTTCCAATCTTCCCGAGGGAGGTTTTTGGGCTAAAAGTAGCACCTAAAAAAAAACTTTTGAGAACTTGTATAGCTTGTTTCTGAAGCTTGAAGATAATAATTAAGACGATGGCAGCAATAAAATTATGCTATCACTCTCTTTGTTTATGGCCAAGATAACTGCAAAATACAGCTAATGCTAGATAATAAATCAGAAAGAGAATCAAGTGATTAATCAATAGTATTCATAACAAATATGTTGATAAATGTTAATAGAGTTGTCTTAGTAATGAATTTCGAAATGAATACTTTACAAATTCTTTCAGACTTTGGTCAGTTGATTGATCAAAACTTAAATTTTGTAATTTATAGCGAAAACAGAAAGTCTGATTCTAGTAAAACGTTAATATTGTTAGGAAACAAGAGATTCATAGTAAGTCACAAAAATAATTATTTAACAGTTTTGAACGAACCTCAAGGAATGCTTCGTCGTAAATATTTGATAACACGAGTGACAATTCTAATTCAAACAATATGATAAGCATATAATGAATTCATGTGAAAATTGTCGATGATCAGCAATTTAATAAAACAAAGTCAGAAACTGTAAGCTGCTGCTGTTGCCTCTTTCTTGAAGTGTCTTTGATATATTTCATTTTTATGTCAGAATAAAAAAATTTTTATTTATATGTAGTTTATGACGACAAATCCATGTGTTAGTTTTGAAAAAGTATGAGTTGATATTCAATTATTTTTTAAACAAAAAACAAATTATAATCAAATATTTAACGAAGAAGACAAGAATAGCAATGAATTAATAGGTTGCGTACCATATAATTGAATATCATTCCAAAAATAATGATTGTTATTCCTTATTTAACAATGATGTTGGCGAAGAAATCATTCCTGAATGATTTTTATCATGTTATTACTTTGAATGTATTGTAGACATATGATTATCTCCATTTATTAAAGTCATAGATGAATCTGTATATGTTCGTTGTTATTCAAATTTTATTCATTAGTAAAGTCAATGGTATCATCATTTGAAGAATCACATAATCTATCTGTTGTAAAAGCTTATCTGATGCAAATATTAATTCGTATATAAACAGCTTTTTGTTTTAATCTTAATTGGTAACTATAATAAAATATAAATGACTATTTCCGAATTGCGACCAAAAATCACACCTATTTGCGCTCTCACCCATATTGTCGGTCTGCTGATTGGTTTGATCTTTGGCCGCAATTAGGAAGCTACGATATAAATACTACAAAATTTCTAATGATAAATGAGTTGAACATTTGTTCAATATACTTTGCTGTAGATGTTTGTTGAAGATGTTCATAAAAATGTTTTCTTTTTAATGTTGTTGCTTTTTATATTAGTAATCCTTGCCTTGTATTTAATTTATTTATTCTATATTTATGTTCATTATATTCAAGTAGATTTAAACACCTTTCTTTAGCTTCCATTAAACATTATTCACATTGATCTAGTTCATAATATAATTGTTAAAACTTGTTCATGCAGCTTTTTTACGGAAAATATTCGTTCACATTTATCCCATTGTATTGTTAATTTCAACAGACAATATGAATGTTCAATAGAATAAAGTGATGAAAGTAATTTATAGATGAATTTTTTATCTGAAAAAATATAAGTGAGAAAGATCGTGGTAGACATTCGAATTATTTAAACAACATGAATACCAGTGATATGACCTTTAGCGCGTTTAATACTACTGACAAACGAAAGAAGTGTTGCTGTCCCAGTGATAAAACCTATTTCAGCTGGGTTTGTTCTTACTGTTTTTAAATGAAAAGTTGGCCTTTTTTTATCGCCAAGTGTTGTCTCTGGTCCAGACAATTCAATTTCAACAATATGTCTATCAGTTAAAGATGAATCAGCAATTAAACATCCTTGAACACCATCAAAACCCAGATGATCAGCAGCAATAGCACCAATAGCCATTGTATTGACATTATTTGGTGCTAATCGACATAATTCACGAACTGGACCCGAATAAATAACAATTTCTTCTTGTTTATTACCGACTTTAGCTTGTTCATGTAGTAGTTTTGAACGTAATGGTTCATTCAATTTAAAGGAATCGGGATGTTTCTTCATAGTAATAGTTAAACAACGAACTAAATCACGTTCACTCATTTTAACAATATCTTCTGCACCCCAAAAAGCACCACTTGCTATGTAAATAGTTTGTCCTGTTTCGATACTTTTTTTTCTTAATCTAGCTTCGAGTGGTGCATAAGCAAGAGCTGTTGGTGATCCAATAAATAGATCACAAACATCAAGTATTTGTTCAGCATATGTTTTTATAACATCTGGATGTGCTACTTCAACAACTAAATCAGGTAAACGTTGTAAACCTTCTTGAACAGTTGAAACAACTAATGCTTGATTCAATTCTTTGCCATATTTTGTGAAAATAGTTTTCGAACGATTCCAAATAAATATAAGATCAAAATCACGTGTTGGTTTTGTACGTTCACGTTCAAAATGTGTACAAAGAAATTGCCCAAGATGACCAAAGCCAAGTATACCAATACGTAATGGTTGTGGTCCAAATGTTGAATCAGCATTACGACGCATTCGAGATAGAGAATTATTAATTACAGTAAACATACCTTTTTCTTTTTTCAAACTTGTCAAAATGAAAGCCTCATTGAACAGAAACAAAAAAAAAACTCTTTATACAAAACAATTCGTTTCTACTACTTCTTTCATGCAGCTATAGTAAAATGGATAGATGCCCTCGTAAACTAATCAAACTATACTCTCAAATTTTGATCAGATGGCACCAGTTACTAACATTAAGTTTCTTCGAAAATTACAATGAGACTTCTATGAATGATTACCATATTTTAAATGTTAAATAGTTTTTATTGTTTCTGATAGGCGAAAGGGTATGGTTACAATGAATACTCACGTTCCAAAGTTGAATCCTATCGAATCTGATGGGATTATATTGGATATCCATCTGAAAGTTAGACATTGTTGGACTCTTCTCATTATTATCACTTCCCCCCCCCCCCCCTTACTTCATTCCTCAGTCTCATCCAATTAGCTAAAAATGAACAGCTTCAATGTACTTTATTGTAATTTATAATTGCATTCAGTTACAGACTAAATTTTAAAAAAAAGATAAAAAAAAACTAGAATCAATAATTTATACTCACTTCTGATTGACTTTTATCGGATTTCGTCGAATTTAATAGGTTCTCATTGTCATATATTATCGGATCAGACGGGTGAGCGCCTGTTGGATTAGTCCCGAAACCGATCGACCCCGAATCCCAAAACTTTTATACTGATTGCAATCTATATGTGCAATTCGAACATAAATCATTTTTGAAAATTTCAAAGTCATTGATTTAGACTTTTGAATTAATTTTGGATTAAATATGTTCTTCAAGTTCTTAATTCGAACACTGCCAAAATATTCTGTTGTCATGTAGTGCTCTCTATCGACATTATGTTTCTATTGGTGTTCTTTTCATATTCTTTTTTCTATTCGTTTGTTTATTTCTTACTCACTCACGTTCCTTTTTTCATTATTATTTATTAAGATCTGGAAGTGTTTTTTTCTGTAATTACTTTTTTGTCTAGTTTTAATTTGTTTTGTTTCATCCATGTATTAAACCTCAATTAATTACTTTCTAATAAGAAAAATTATAATCATGTGAGTTTTACCGCCATAATTTTTCATTCATTATTATTTAACATATTTATTTCATAGGCCACAACCACGTTTAACCGGTCATCATCCTCATTTTTCTCAGCATCATCATCATAATCAACAACAAACATCTTCTAGCGGACAAACATCTGCAACTCTTAATTCATCTATTGTACCTGTTCAACCTGGTAAATTAAATACACTGAATTTATTCTCTATAAATATATATATTTTTTTTTAAGGTGAAATCGGTTTCGATGGAAAAATGTTACGTAAAGCAATGGCTCGAAAAACAGTGGATTATAATCCATCGATTATACGTTATCTTGAAGTAAGATTTTTTTTCTTCATTAAATAACTCTTCTTAAAATAAAAAAAAAAAAAATTATTTTAGAATTCTATTTGGCAACGAAATTTAGTCGATAGCGCATCATTACAACCTGATGTTCTTTACATTCCACATGTAAGATTAATATTAATGATTCTTCTATTCAAATAACTTTTATTTATTTAAGCTTATACCACCACATGCACTTCTATCAAATCCAGTTAATTGTGTTATGACAAAATTTATTCGACCAGCTACAAATAAAGTTCGATGTCCAATTTTTTGTGTTTGTGTATGTTATTCATTTGAACGTTGTTTTCTTTTATTGCTCTTTAAATTCTTGATTTTAGTGGACACCAGATGGTCGTCGTCTTATAACAGGTGCATCTAGTGGAGAATTTACATTATGGAATGGATTAACATTTAATTTCGAAACTATTTTACAAGTAAATGAAAATTTAAGTTAGAAAAACAAAAGAAATAAAAATTTTTTTTTTAATGAAAAATTCAGGCACATGATTCAGCTGTACGAGCTATGATTTGGTCAAATAATGAACAGTGGATGTTAACAGGGGATCATAATGGTTTTGTTAAATATTGGCAATCAAATATGAATAATGTTAAAGTATATCAAGCACATAATGATCCAGTCCGAGGACTAACGTATGTTGAAGTATATTTCATTAGACTTTTTATGAACTGAAAAGAAGAGAATTCTCAAGGGTCAGACATCGTTTGACACAATATTTTGACTGTAAGGATACGAGCCTATTGATGAGGAGCTATCACTATTTTAATGCTGAAATATCACCTATAGATAAAACTAAGAATCACTAAAATATTCTCAAACGAAATGAATTCATTGTTCTCGAAATACAGAATTTTCAAGTAAATTTGACTATTATGTCCCATTGTGATAAGATGCTGTTTGTTTTCTTTTAAACTTTAAGAACGTTTCAATAATTATTAGTTGTATTTATAGGCAATATTTCAGGATAAAATTCTTCACTCTGATATAGTCGAAAGTGCCTTGGTCTGACAAAAAAAAATAACTGTAACTCTTCTCCAATAGGTCATTGATCCGAATTCTTTTAGAACATTTTTTGAAGATTTACTTCAAATTTGATTTATTACTTTTATTTTTGTATAGATTTTCACCGAATGATAGCAAATTTGCAAGTTGTTCCGACGATAGTTTTGTGCGTATATTTGATTTTCTCACAGGCACTGAAGAACGTGAATTACGAGGTTTGTTTCTTTTTTTTTTATTTGTTTTTGATTATAAATGATTAATTTTAGGTCATGGATGCGACGTTAAATGTGTTGATTGGCATCCACACAAAGGAATACTTGCCTCAGGTAGTAAAGATTCTCAACAACCAATTGTTCTTTGGGATCCAAAGAGTGGAAAAAAATTAGCAACACTGTATGTATTTATATATGAATTTTGTCAAAGAGAAAAGAATGAACCTTTTAATTAATTTAGTCATGCACATAAAAATACATGTATGGCATTAAAATGGAATCGACAAAATGGAAATTGGTTAATATCAGCATCACGTGATCATTTTTGTAAATTATTTGATATAAGAAATCTCAAAGAAGAACTGCAATGTTTTCGTGGACACAAAAAAGAAGCATGCAGTAAGCTTTGTTTGTTCGTTTATCGTCTACAAATCATAATTGAATGTATTCATCTTGTTTCGTTCATTTTTAACACTCGAATAAAACAAATAATAATAAAGAATTCTAAAGGGAAAACGATATTTACTTTTATTATTATTATTATTTCTTATTTTTTTTTCTCAAATAAATATACAATACAGAATATCCTAAAAGTCCGCCGTGAAAAATCATCTGAATACCTGTTAAATAGTTCAATGAATTTACGTATTTTTGTTTTCAATATTATAGTATGTTCGAGAAAGTTTTTTTTTTTGGTTTTCGTTATTAATTTTCATTTTGAATATAACTGGCCTTGTTAAGATTCGTATTGACTTCGAAAAGTTGTTGTATTGATAAAAAAAAAAGCTGAATTTTCTTGACTGTTAATGTTGTCTAACATTGGTATTAAAGTTTGACAACTTCAATTCAGGAATCTTCTACATGAACTTATTGGACAAGTTACCCCTTATATGGCCTAAATCAGGAGATATTCAATCATTATTCGGTGTGTTGTTGTTCGTGAAATGAAGCAGACTGTTGTAATATTCGATAGTGGCTTATTTTCACAAATATAATGGACGTTGTTGATTTTTTCATAGTTTTGTCAATATGCTATTGTGCTAGTTTTCATAAAACAATTAAAAAGTGTCTCGAATACCGTCTATGTCCGACGTTTGTATGCCAAAATTGACTTGAATTTTTGATTCACAAAAATTTGGCAATTCTTAAAACTATTTGTATTAGGATGTTTGTGGATTTCACGGCGAACTTTTGGAACTTTCTGTTTTTTTCGATAAATATTTCCAATATGACATAATAGACAATAGCAAACACTGAACTTGTTTGGGATCAAATTTAGTTCTGGCCCAAGTGATCAGGATCCGTGCTACGAGAAAAAAAGTTGTCCCAAGAGGATAGAGGTCGTCGGGTTGGCTCCGAGTCCGAATTCAAAAATTTTAGAATCGACACGTTCTACAACCGACATCAAAGATTATAGTGAAATATTCAGTTGTCTTAAGCGAAATATCTTATAAATCATATTAACCAGGATATTTTTCAAGAGAGATGACCCAAAGAAGTGCAAGTTGTCGACTAAAGCAATCAAGAAACGAGTATTAAAGAATTTTTTTATGTGATACAAATAAATTCTGAAATAGTTTTCTCTAAACCGAGACTTGAAAAAAGCTAATCCCGCACATCTCCAGCAAACAAAAAAAAATATATAGATCTTGAGCAAGAGTAGGTACGAATATTTTATCTCGATTCTTTTAACAGCTGTGTTATTGCTTTCAAATCAGTGTCTAAATGATTCATAATATACAATAGTTTGTCTGTAACAAACTAGATGTTGATTGAATATTTTAACCAATTTAGCTGTCATTGAATATAATCAAGTAACTAAACATTTTCGAGTTTTTTTTTTGTTTTGCTGTCAGCTTAGGAACAGTGATCGATTTAAGAGAGAGAAGACGAGTTTAGTTCAAAAACATTTGAGATGATAAGAGTAATTACATTTTAAGTGCATCATTACTGAAAAATTAATAATTATCATGTATTCATATGTTTTGTCGTAATTGATTTTGTTTATTTTTCTATTTATTTTATAGCATTGGCATGGCATCCAATACATGAACGACTCTTTTCAAGTGGAGGATCCGATGGTTCGATCTATTTTTGGCATGTTGGGTATGTTATTAAGAAAAACTTTGATTTATCGTAGATTTCGACAATAGAAATGTATCAGAAATTTTACAAGATAACTTTCTCCTTGTTTTGTGCAAATATTATTATCATTCTCTTCAATTATCTTTTTTTTGTTGAATTCTTTTGTTATAGAACAGAAAAAGAATTAGCTGGCATGGATGATGCACATGAAGGTATGATATGGGATATGTCTTGGCATCCACTTGGTCATATGCTTGTCAGTGGTTCAAATGATCATACAACGTTTGTTTTATTTTATATTAAATTATAAATTAATTTATTTCATTTAGACGATTTTGGACACGTAATCGACCTGGTGATACTGTATTAGAACGAAGTGAAGAAGGAATCTTAATGCATGCTTCACGTCTTGAGCAAATGCATCGTGAAGAATTAGAACATGAACGTGCATCAGAAGAAATTAATATGCCTGGTTTAGGTTTTGAAGGTGGTTTACTCGAACAGTTACAACAACAAGGTACTAATTTAGACAAAAACAAAAATTAAACATTTATTTCATCCGAAATTGCTTTTACTTTATTTAGAGGATGCATATAATCGACGTGAAGCTGGCATACCGGGCTTGGATTTTTCAAATGATGATGAAGAAGGTCGACGGCGACGTGTATGTTGTGCTTTTCTTTCTTTTCATTTCAGGTTTTTGTTAAACACGATCTGAAAGAAGTATTGAAGTATAAGAGTAAAAATTTAAATCCATCTCTGCTATGAAGTTGTGGCTTCTTAGATTGCACAGAAGATATTCTTGCTTGATATCGTTTACATAAATGCAACTAAAACTATTTCATACAGCTGAAAACTTTGGTGTTACTATTGATTTGACGATTATTCATATAAAATTTCGTTCATCAATTAATTGTTTAATTTCTTGTTTGGTTATCATAATGCTCTTTTCAACTAAGCAAAAAAATTTTAACTTGTTAATCATCATGTGACGAAAGTGAACGGCAAGAAGTAACGAGATCCGGACAGTTGCTCGCTATAGGAACCTATGTAACTGTTATAGCCAGCAAGTGTCCAAACGAGCAAGTGTCCGCGCGAAACTGTCCGACGAGCAACTGTCCTAAAACCAACGTCTCGTTATAATATATTAATCACTTCTTCATTGTATTTCTGAAGGATTAACTAGAAAAAGATGGTCCCGGTTCCGTTGAAACCAACAACGAATAGGTTCTCTCGTGCACAAAGGTGAAAAAATGTGTCCTGAAATAAATAGCATAAAACAATGTCTCTGTGATTAGCAAATGTAGCTGCATTGTGTTTCACATTTTAATCATGTAGGAATTAAGCTAAAAGATTTTAAATAAAATTTTGAAATATTTTAGGCACCATTTGCTAAACCTGTTCCCAAACCATTTGAAAAAGCATGGCGATCAGTTGATCCATTTCCTGGCGATAATACCAATAATAGTAATAGAATAATGAGTAAGTTAATGATTTATTTTTCATTAAAAAAAATGTCATATACAAAGAAGTTTTTGTTTGTAATATTCATAAGAATAAAACTATGAAACATATATTTATATATTTTAGCTTCACTAGATTCCGATGATCCATTTTATGTAAGTTTCCATGATAAGTGTGAATTTTAATTTATCGATTCATTTTAGTCTCAGCCAGCTCCACCGCCACCACCACCACCACCACTATCAAACTTTCCTCGAGGCCCACCTTCTATGCTTGACGATTATTCTCGAAATAATGTACCACTTGATTTTGATGCTCGTGGTAACGGCCCACCGATTAAACGACCACGTCTTGATGTATTTAATGACGGTCATTGGGCAAATGCACCAACAGATCGACGAGGAGGTGGTTTTCAAAATATACCACCACAAATGCCTCATTGGCGACAAAATAATAATGATGCTCCGTCATTACCAACTGCAAATGCCATCGTTGAAGAGTCACTTGATGATACATTGACTGCTGCTCGACAAGGTGTTTCACCATTTTTTCAAACAGCTACTGATGAAGAATTGAGAGGATTAACTCGAACATTACGAGTATTTCAAAAGTGATCATATCTATTTCTATGTCAATGTATCTATTTGTATTTGATAATAGATTTTGTGTCTTTGATAGTTTTTTTTTCTCTGTTCTTATGTTTGTTGTTGTACGATTTGTACACAAAATAAGAAAAGTATGAAATCGACATTGAATTTTGTTTTTTTTTTTTATTAATTTTTTTATGATAGATCAATTTTTAAAGCATATTCGATCAAAGATGTTAGACTCATCCAAAGATTTACGAAGATATTTAATTCGAGTTTATTTGAAATTTTAATATTTCGAGAAAAAAAAGCATACTCAGTTATGTTAAAATTATTAGAACATTCTAACAATCATCAGATTTTCTTTTTTACTCTAAGTCATCCTAATAGAAAAATATATTTTCGTTAGAATTATCGAAATTGAGAGAAATGCTGACGAAAAGTAGCTCGACATATCATTTTTCATATAGAATATAATTTCTTTTTATTTTGATACCTCATTGCTTGCCAAAATCTTTGGATTTCTCGAAGAAACTTCATTTGCATTTTATTTCGTTTGAAATAGCATATGAAACTTCTGTACCCGTTTTTTGAATTACCCTTTTTTTTTTATTACATAAAAAAGCACGAAAAAAATAACTCTGTGAGGCCACTGTAGCCTGGCATGCTCTTATAAATAAAAATAATATATATATATATAGAATGAAGGTCTACAGAGAATATTACATTTTCTAGATGAGCTCCTTTTGAGTCTTGTTTGGTGAATATCTCCCGAAAACGTCATGGTAGAGGACTAAAAATTCTAGCATACATTCTCGACTATAGTTCCAACATATCGTGAAAATTTCGTGCTATTTGAATTTATCTAATTCAAGATCAATCTCTAAGGGTAGTCTTAATGCTTGTGAAAATACATTCCTATTCGTGAGAGTTTTGTTAAAAAGCTCGAACTAGAGAGTCATATGGGTAGCGAAAACATGGAATCAAACAATGGTGAATGTTCATTCGTTAGATAGTGTTCTGATGTCAAAAGAAAAAGAACGCCAGTGATCTGTTCGTTTTTACTCTACTCAATATAGGTAAATCGAAAAAGATGATTGTTTTTACGCATATTCAACTCTTTTATCGATTTTTACTATAAGATACATAATTAGTAATATTCAAAGAATTAGTTGACTTGCTGTCAAAAAGTGATGTTTAAAAATATAGATTCCAATTAAGAGATCATTTGATAAAGTCAAAAAAAAAATATTTATGCTTAAAGAAAGTTTTTTTTCAATCGTTTATCTAGCAAGAGATTGACGGAGTGTTATTCGTTTCCAGTTTAATTGAAATAATCTAAACCCTTTTCTGCTAGTAGTAGTAGAAGACCTCGAACCTATTATTATAGCCAAGCATATAAATTGAATTAAATAATACAACAAAACTTCAGTTATTTTATCATAGAGGTCTTTTTTTTATTGGTAAACTATGGAAGTTGATAATAGAAGTTCTTCATTCTACTTCATATTTTTATATTTTATATAAATAAATAGATAAGTAACACAGTGATATTATATTCTAAAAATGAAGCCGTTTGATATGGTGTTGCTTATTGTTTTTTCTTTTCTCATCATTTATTGTGATGGTTCAGCCAATGTACATGTATCCGATTCATTAATTGTTGATGATGCAGGACGTGTACGAATTTATCATGGTCTTAATTTTGTCATGAAAGGATTTCCATGGTATCCATCTGAATTACTTGATCCGATTAAAGTTGCAAATTTATCACAATGGGGAATCAATTTTATTCGACTTGGGTAATCATTTTAGAAAATAATACTTTTTAATCATATGTATTATTCAATGTTTTAGGATGATGTGGTCTGGTGTTGAACCTGAACCACAAAAATATAATGTTACTTATTTGAATATAATGAAACAGATCGTTGAATTACTTGAATCAAATCAAATATTTGTTTTATTTGATATGCATCAAGATCTATTATCTAGTCGAACAGGAAGTTATGATGGTATACCAGCATGGTTATATGATCGATTTCCTCCACCAGATCATCCATGTAATGATATATATAAAATAAAAAGTTTATTTCTTAAAGAAAGAAAATAACCTGTTATTCTTTAGATCCTTGGCCACTTAAATCAACAACAGGTGTAAGTTGGTTTGAGCTGTAAGTACATATAAAATGAAAAGAAAATGTAATATTCTTTTTTAAATGATAGCTATATAACAGAAGCATGTTCTCATGGATTTCAATGTTTATATGACAATACGGCTGGTGCTATTGATTCGATGGGCAGTTTTTGGCGATTGGTCGCTACTACTTATAAACAATATTCTAATGTACTTGGGTAAGCAAGCTGCAATAATAATTGTGAAAGAAATTTCTACTATCCATAGAAACACTAAAAGAAAAAAAATATCGAAATAGAAAACATCAAAACGAAATATATCCAATGATACTTATGTGAAAAAAGTCAGATAATAAAGTTAGATCATGCAAAGGATGCGAATTATAAGGATATTCACATCCACACCACATTTATTATTGGATTGAGACAAATACTTTGTCATTGAAGATAATATATTTTAGGGTCGCATTAAATATTTGTATCGAATGCCTAGATGATTCCGCTCATGTCTACGCACACCTCAAATCAGTTAGTTTATAGGTAGCTTTAGGCAAACTAGGACATATCACCTTTTCATTTGACTTTTATTAATTAAAAAGTAATTAGCGAATATCTCTTGAATCATAAGATGAATAAATTCAAAAACTTCAGGATAGACTCTGTGGCACGATTTGACTATATATGTTGAAATGTTCAGGAAGATCAGACTAAAAAAAATTCCTCCTACAAACTGGTTTCTGTTTGACATTAGTTTTGCACTTCGCATTCAGTTATAAGACTATTTTTTCGTTTGTATATTCGTATTCCATCACATCGCTGATGAAAAGCATATCAAGTTTTTTGAAAAATCTAGGCATGCTCAGAAAAAAAACTTTGGATAGAAATTTTGTAGCCTCAGAAGTTGTCTACAGAATTTAATATATTAATTTTCAAAATGCTGTCTAAGTTCGGAGTTTTGTTTAAGCCAAAATGTATGAAGTGAAAGCAGACATCTCTTTTTTTTTGTGTGACGATTTCTAGCGCTAAGTTTTTCAAGATATTTAAAGTAGCTTAACATACATCTAACATATAAAAATTAATTCTCGGAAAGTTCATTATTTCGAGATACACGTGTTTTAGCTTTGCAAACTCATGTGGCTAACGAATGACTTTGCTTTTATCTTTAATAAAAACTCAATACTTTTTCTATTCTTTTCTTGGTCGATAGTTATTTTTATTTTGAACAGTTATCAAGAAAACCATAAAGCAACAATAGATACTAACGGAACATAATTCAATAATAAACTACTTATTTGCAAAGTCTTCTAACTTATTTGACATGATTTTTTTCGGCTAATTTTGTACCATTCAAATTATTTTCGCATAAAACCAGGAAATAGTATTGTACTTAATAAAAAAGACTTTATTTTTTAAAAACATAACGAAAACTTACTTATATTTATTTTTTCAAAGAACAGTAAATTTTTTAATGTTATTTATTCATATAAAGGTACGAAATAATTAATGAACCTTGGGCAGGAAATTATCTTGTCAATCCGACCATACTTCTACCAGGTATTGCTGGTGCTAAAAATTTACAACCATTCTATGAAAAAATAGCTAAATCTATTCGTTCAGTTGATAATGATACATTGATTTTCTATGAACCAGTAACTTGGGGTGGTATGCATAAATTTTAAACAAAAAAAAACAAGAAAACGTTTATCATAAATTCTAATTTGTCTATTTCAGTTCGATTAAATGGTAAATATTTTGGTAGTGGATTTACTCATGTACCAGGCGGTGATGATTATCGTAATCGAAGTGTACTTTCTTATCATTATTATTGTATAATTTTATCTCTGGTACCCGTTCCAGACAATAGTACAATACCAGTTTTTGATCGGGTTCTTTGTGATGATGTTGAAGGACCAGCAATATTTCGTTCTGTAGAAGTTGATCTTGCTCAATTAGGTGGTTCAGCATTTTTAACTGAATTTGGTGGTTGTGATGGTTCACCAGCATGTGATGAACAACTTGATTGGGGTTTAGATGCTGCTGATGAATATTTACAATCCTGGGCATATTGGGGTAATTATTTTGATCATGTGCCAACAATAAAACGTTTATCACGTGTTTATGCTCGGGCAATAGCTGGTAAACCTCTTGCAATGCAATATATAGCTAGTCAACGTCAATTCTATTTATCGTATTACATTGATCCAACAATCAAACAACCTACTGAAATTTATATATCACCAATACTATATCCACAACAAAGTTATGATATAACTGTTAATAAAGCATTAAAATGGAAAATTGATTCAACAAATACTAATATTATTCTTGTTGAACCTAATGAACAGGTCGTAAAGAGTAAAAATCAAGCTGTCATTGGTGTTGTCGAAATTCGTCCAACTATGTGATTATGAATAATGATGCCTTGCTTTTTTTCTTTTTTTCTGTGATGGTGTTGCTTTAATAAGCACAACTAAGGTATTTTTCTTACACTTTCCTTTTTTCTTTCTTTGGTTGTGTTATCATAACATAGTATTTAACTTGTCTTATGTTGCTTTTGAATAGCATATCGGCATTTTTTTGCATTGAAATGTTTTACAAAAGCAAATTCTTTGCTTTGAATTCAATGAACATATTTTAGTTCTTTTTTGTTTGTTTAATTCTATTCGAAACTGATTCCAAACATTGTCCACATCGTTTTTAATTTGTACTGAATGTCAATGAATAGAATAATACGTAATAAAGTGAAGAAAAAAATTATTTCTGTTAAATTTCATTTGAAAATTCGAATTTCTAATTTAGAGTCAATCAATGAATATTGATTTTATATCCTTTTTGAATTATCTTATTGACAAATAGTAATAGTGATGAAAACTATCATATAGATAATATTT